ATAAACATCGCTAAAACCACAGGCAACAGTTCAAATAATCGTTTTCAGCTACATTCGTATTTGTTTTATCCATTTTCACTCCACCTCATCCTTCACTGTATTTTAACCACTTCAGCTGTCAAAAAGATTTGGTTATTTAATAAAAAACTGAAATACGATCTCACACATTCTTTAATCAACTAATTCAACTTAAAAAAATCTTTGTTGTACAGCAGCAAACAAAATTGTGCAATCAACAGCTGAAAATTTCCTTTTAACTGTTCTTTTTTTATTTTATATAAAGAAAAAAATAGATAGATAAATATATATATATATATATATATATATATATATATATTAGTAAAATTACAGGACTAATTTTAAAATTAAATTTTCTTTTTTCTGAAAGTACAAAGATTTTTGTCGAATTACTAAAACGAAAATGACAGTAGTGGAGCTTGCCTAAAAACGATGTGTTCAGCATACTCATCTGCAAATTTGAGTAAAGGTGAATACTTTGTAAAAACTGGCACCACATGTGAAACGGTTGATCTAGAAACCTTTATTTAGTTCCATTTTAATAGTTCAAGAAATTCCTGGGAAGTTTTGTCAGCGAAGCAAAGCCAAAATGTCCTTTCCAAAAACCATAAAAACAGGGTGGACGTAACCTTTAAGAATTAGACTCTCATCTAACTGCCATATTTCTGACCTGTACAGAATCGTTGTCAGTAATAAAAAGAATGTATTTTTTTAACCAACAATAATAATCATCAAAAAATCCTCTAAATGTTTTTAACATTTCAAAAAAGAGCATTTTCCAAAAGCCCTATTCATGTGGTTAGCTAATATTAGTAATTGGCTTGTGGTGAAAAATTGGGATAGGGTTACCCATATCGATACCTTCCTATGTATTATTATGTCGGATGCCACCGATTTTACAAGCGATATTTAAGGTGTATCACTGACAGACAATGTCATCCCCTTTGCCAGCAAAAAGCGTTCTAATTTTTTCATTTTTAGTTAAATTATGTTCAGCTGTGAGCTCTTTTCAGCTGAGAAGAATTCTTTATTTCGATTAGCAACTTTTGGTGAAACCAAGAATTCAGGAGTTCTTTCATTGAAGGCTTACCCTATAAAGTCGAATTCCTACAAATAGAAGACTTTTAAGCCTATTTTTCTGCCAGCTAATGGTTGTTCCTTCGAGAGGTGTACTAGTTTTTATTTACGATAACTTTTTGGTCCGAATCCATTTTAAATTAAAACTGTTATTTTCTTTTAATAATGCACTTCGGCAGAAAGATTAGTAACTTGAAGACTCTTTAGCTTTCACACCATTTTGAGTAATGCATTAGACATGTTTTAACCACTCGCCCAGGAAGGCGAAACATTCAAAATAGCTTAAGGATAAACTTTGACAAAAATTTTTTGATTGCATTTAGTTCCGAAGTTAACGAGAAAATCTGCAAAGATCATTAAGGTGGTGGAACAAAGTCGATAACTGAAAGAGATCTAGCTGCTTTTTAATCGGTCAGCAATACTGATTCCGCATCTTGTCTTCGGGAGAAGTTTTGTCGTCATTGATGACGTCATTGTCGGTATGCGACTGCTATATCGGGTGTTAATATTAAGTTGTACTGAGTCGGTGCAATTCCCACAACGAATTGTTGTGCAATCTAACAGGACGGACATTTTCCAAGTGGAATGATCTAGTGTAGCACTGCATTGTCTTGTTTTCATATGTTCATAGAAAATGGTGGACTTTGCTTTGATGGTTTCTGGCAGAACCACGCACGGTTCATGGTTTATTTGCTTCTCTTAAGCTGTTATGATGCGCTTTAACATATCTTTGGGGAAGTGTCATCATATGTTGGTTATTTGGTTATTTTAAAAAGTATCTATCATTTTGTTGCGGTTCTGACCAATCTCTGTGAGGTTCTTGGTGGGTATATATTGACGTAATGATTTATGTTTCATATATTAGATGATTGGTTGGTTGATGGGGTGCATGTGTGGTGTAAGTAGGTTGTCGGGAAGTGGAATTCACTGATGTTAACAGTCGTCGTGTTATTTATGAGGAGGCAAATCTAAGTATTGATTCTTAGAACGTACTGTCTTTTCAAATTTCTAGAAGATCTTCCAACGTTATGGTTTTGTGCATACAGTCACTTTGTATTTGCAGGTGTTTTTTTTAATATTTCAGTTTTTTTTCAAATTCAAGCAACTTTGAAAACTAAAGTTAGAGGTTTACCCGTTAAGCACAATTGATTGGCAAAATGCCCCGTGGGATAGATGGTTATGTGGGATTTAAATAAAGTTGGCCATAAATGTGTGTCTTAACTGATATGTGTTTACAGTCGGGAATATTTTGATTGCTGTAAGCATTTTTTTCTAAATAAGGTCTCCTGCTTTCTGGCTTGTTACAAGATCTTCATTGCGATGTCACTTTGTTTTTCAGTCTTCTGGAAAGCAGTTTTTATTCTGAAATTTCACGTCTTGAATCTCTTTGTTACAGTTTAGTATTGGTATTCCTGGGCTTTATGTTCTTTTCACCCGCTCTTTCTCTCAGTACCTTTAAGGTTTTTATATTTGTGCATCGCATTATAGAATGATGTAACTCTACTTCTTAATGTTAAGATAGTGAAAGCTATTGCTAAAATTCCTATCTTTTTTTTTTGGATTTTTACTGTTGGAGTCGATACGTTTAAGAATTTACTCCAGTTTTTTTGTGAATTGAGAATTTGTTAGAAATAGTGTGAAGGATATCTGATAAAAAATACCCTTGTTTAAGAGATCATTCTAAGCTTCATTTTAGCAGAGTCTTTTGTCTCACTTGTTGTATGTCATTAATATTAAATCCGCAAAACTTATAAGTCTGTCATGACAATTTATGGAGCGGGATGGGTAAATTTGAGCGATAACACTGTTTCAGCAGCATTACACAAAAGTGTGCCATTTTGGTGCGGTAAACTTCTGCAATATGACCATTTTTTCTACAGCTACTTCAAGTATAGCAAATTATCTTTCAGCCTTCTTATCAGCCTTCTTATCCCTAGTCTTCGATTGAAGTGAATAGGTGCCCACTTTGAAGCAACCTCATATTATAACAGCGCCAAATGTGCATTAGTAGTGATGCAGTGACAGATGCTTCAAAACCGAATGGGTTTTACTAAACGAAATACTTGGCGATGGTTGCTGCATGAGCTTAAAAGACTGACAGTTAGTGAGAAAGTGTATACCTTTTTATAGGAATCAACGGCGTTGGGAAGTACACACGTAATGGTGTTAAGAGCAGCATGACATCTAAGAGGTTAATTTGGTATACACAATTCAGAGGTATTTCGAGTTTTGGAAAGTCAGCAGTATAGAG